CATCTGGCGACTGGGCAATGTGGGTATTAAAGCCCAGCACAGGACAGCTCTGAAAGGCACTGCTGTTGGAATCCCAGAAGCCCCTGCTGGATTGGCTGAGATTTGTGGGGTCCTCACAGCTATTAAACTTTCCACTCTGCCTTTTCTCCCTTTTCACAGGTGTGGATCCCTAATAAATAGCTTGCACCCCAATATCAGACAAATACTAATCAGAACACCTAATAAAAGCAGAACAAGAAAACAATGTCCATCAATAGTGAAATCTTAGTAAACAAGTTATGGTGCATATTATAAGATGAAGGGAAGATGACACATATATAAACTGATGCCAAGAAATTGTCCTGATACATTGTTTTTCTTTTTTTAAATATATTTTATTGATTATGCCATTACAGTTGTCCCATTTCTCTCCTTCATTCCCCTCCCTCCTGCACACCCCCTCCCCAATTCCCCCCCTTTAGTTCATGTCCATGTGTCACGAGTTCTTTAGATTCTACATTTCCCCAACTATTCTTGTCCTCCCCCATGTCTATTTTCTACCTACCATCTATGCTACTTATTCTCTCTAACTTCTTTTTTTAAATTTAAAAAATTTTTTATTGATTATGCTGTTACAGTTCTTCTATTCCCCCTTTCGTTCCCCTCCACCCTACCCCCCCATCCCCACCATTACCCCCCCTTTAGTTTATGACCATGTGTCTCAAGTCCTTTATTTTTTTTAAATTTATTTTTAAAATTGATTATGCTGTTAAAGTTGTTCTATTCCCCCCTTCATTCCCCTCCACCCTGCCCCCCCTCCCCACCATTACCCCCCTTTAGTTTATGTCCATGTGTCTCAAGTCCTTTAGGTTCTATATTTCCCATGCTATTCTTGCCCCCCCATCTATTTTCTATCTACTGTCTATGCTACTTATTTTCTGTACCTTCTCCCCCCATCTCCTCCTCCCACTCCCCTGTTGCTAACCCTCCTTGAGATCTTCATTTCTATGTTTCCATTCCTGATCTAGCTGTTCTTTTAGTTTGCTTTCGTTTTAGGTGTGGTTGTTAATAACTGTGAGCTTGTTGTCCTTTCACTGTTCATGTTTCTTTAACTTCTTTTTCTTAGATAAGTCCCTTTAACATTTCATATAATAAGGGCTTGGTGATGATGAACTCCTTGAATTTGATCTTATCTGAGAAGCACCTTATCTGTCCTTCCATTCTAAATGAAAGTTTTGCTGGATAGAGCAATCTTGGTTGTAGGTCTTTAGATTTCATGACTTGGAATATTTCTTTCCAGCCCCTTCTTGCCTGTAAGGTCTCTTTTGAGAAATCTGCTGACAGTCTGATGGGGACTCCTTTGTAGGTGATTGTCCCCTTAGCTCTTGCTGCTTCTAGGATTCTCTGCTTCATTTTAATTTTGGCTAATATAATTATGATGTGCCTTGGTGTGTTTCTTCTTGAGTCCAACTTTTTTGGTACTCTCTGAGCTTCTTGGATTTCTTGGAAGTCTATTTCCTTTGCCAGATTGGGGAAATTTTCTTTTATTATTTGTTCAAATAAGTTTTCCACTGGTGGCTGTGCCTTTCCCCCTTCTGGTACCCCTATAATTCGGATATTGGAGCGTTTAAAGATGTCCTGGAGGTTCCTAAGACTCTCCTCATTTCTTTGAATTCTTGCTCCTTGACTCTTTTCTGTTTGGCCATTATTTGCTTTCTTCTGGTCCACTCCATTGATTTGAGTCCCAGTTTCCTTTTCATCGCTATGGGTTTCCTGTGGAATTTCATTCATTTCCATTAGTTTAGCCTTCATATGTTTCTCTAATTTGTGGTGATAATCAACCAGATCTGTGAGGATCCTGATGACCAGTGTTTTAAACTGTGCGTCTGAGAGTTTTGCTATTTCTTCGTCGCTTAGATTTATCTCTCGGGCTTTGAGGTCTTCCTGCGACATTTTTGGTCTGTTCTGGCCCTTTAAGTGGGAGAAGCGGCGCCTTGGACTCTCAGGTCGCTGGGTTGTGACGCTGTATGTGGAGGCGTGGTCAGAGCGGGGAAATGGCGGCGCCCTCTACCCGCCGCGGCCGGTCCAACCGCCCACTCCCTCGCCTGTCGCTCGCGCGCAGATAGGCGACCGCAGTCAACACGCAGCACCGCCTCCCCACTGTCTCCTCTGCAGTTGCTCACCTGGTGGGTTGATCGGTCGCTCACTAGGTCCAATCCTGCGTTTGGAACCCGTGCGTCTGGATTCGCGCGTCTGGATTCCGCGCCTGGGTCCGTCCGACCGGAGTCCTCCTGTGCAACTCCTCACCAGACGCCGGTTTCACCCCTTACCGGTCGGGCTGAAGAATTTGTTGTTAACGGACTTCCGAAAAGTTCAATTTTCCGTGTTCTGGTTGTGTTTTCTGATGCTAATATTTAGTTGTCCCTAAACTTGGTTGTGTGAGAAGGCACGGCACATCCACCTATACCTCCATCTTGGTGGAAGTCCTCTCTCTAACTTCTCCCTATTCCTCCTCCCACTCTCCTGTTGCTAACCCTCCATGTGATCTCCATTTCTGTGGCTCTGCTCCTGATCTAGCTGTCCTCTTAGTTTGCTTTTGTTTTAGGTGTGTTTGTTAATAACTGTGAGTTTGCTGTCCTTTCACTGTTCATATTTTTATCTTCTTTTTCTTAGAAAAGTCCCTTCAACACTTCATATAATAAGGGTTTGATGATGATGAACTCTTTGAACTTGACCTTATCTGAGAAGTGTTTTTATCTGCCCTTCCATTCTAAATGAAAGCTTCGCTGGATAGAGCAATCTTGGTTGTACGTCTTTGAATTTCATGACTTGGAATACTTCTTTCTAGACCCTCTTCCTGTAAGGTCTCTTTTGAGAAATCAGCTGACAGTCTTATGGAAACTCCTTTGTAAGTAACTCTCCTTTTCTCTTGCTGCTTCTAAGATTCTCTTGTTTTTAATCTTGGGTAACGTAATTATGATGTGCCTTCGTATGTTCCTACTTGGGTCCAAGTTCCTTGGGACTCTCTGAGCTTCCTGGACTTCCTGGAAGTCTATTTCCTTTGCCAGATTAGGGAAGTTCTCCTTTATTATTTGCTCAAATAAGTTTTCCACTTGTTACTCTTCCTTTTCCCCTTCTGGTACCTGTATAATTCAGTTGTTGGAATGTCTAAAGATGTCCTGAAGGTTCCTAAGCCTCTCCTCATTTTTTTGAATTCTTGTTTCTTCATTCTTTTCTGTTTGTTTTTTTCTTCCTTCCTTCTGGTCCACTCCATTGATTTTAGTCCCAGTTTTGTTTCCATCACTATTGGTTCTCTGTACATTTTGCTTCATTTCACTTAGTGTAGCCTTCATTTTTTCATCTAATTTGTGACCAAAATCAACCAGTTCTATGAGCATCCTGATGACCAGTGTTTTAAACTGTGCATCCCATAGGTTGGCTATCTTTTTGCTGCTTAGAAGTATTGGCTCTGGGGCTTTAAGCCATTTTTCTGCTTGAGCCATAATGTTTTGGTGTGTTTGCACCTGTTATGTATGAGGGGCGGAGGCTTAGGTGTTCACTGGGGTGGGTCAAACTGGTAGCTGGGTCATGACTGGGGGAGGGGTCAGAGAGGGAGCAATGGCATTTCTTGGGTCCTCTCTCAGATTTCGGTCCCCTCTGCACCTTCCCACAAGCAAATTTGGCCCTTCTGGTTCTGGTTCTCGGGTGTGTGGGCTCGTGTATGTTCTAGGACCCTGTGGGTCTCCCCAACAAACTCTCCTGTGAGGCTGGGCACAACTCCTGGCACCTCAACCCCAGAAAGTTTTTCCATTCAGTGCTTTTAGGTTTTATTTCCCATCGCTGGGGTCCAGGGTTGTGCAGTCTGTCTCACTGACCATTTTTAAACCTTCCTGGTTTATCTGTGTGCGAAGGTGTATATGCGGTCAGCCAGCCACCTCGTGTGCCACACTGGGTATACTCATTTTCTCCCCCAGCCGGTGTCTGCCAACCATCTCCTCTTCCCGCTAGGACTCCTCTCCACCAGCTGCAGACTCCGCCCCTCTTAATGATCTAGATGAATAGTTTGTTGCTGTCGAACTTCTGTGCAGTTCAGTTTTTGTCTGTTTTGGTTGTGTTATTATTTCTAAATCTTTGTTGTCCTTAAATTTGGTTGTGCTAGGAGGACAGTATTTCTACCTATGCCTCCATCTTGGCCAGAAGTAACTGATACATTGTTAATTGAATTAAAAAGCAGGTAGCACAACACAATCCCATTTATATAGAAAATATAATCTAAAATTAATCTGCTTCCTTCTCTACCTTTAAGACACAAATGTTCCTTTGTGTTGGCAAGATAGTGTATACGAGAGATCTATACAGAGTTTCCAGGATGTAAGTGAACCCCTTTCATGAAGACAGTGCATGTGCAGAAAGCCCAGACCAGGCTGTCGGGTGGAGCCAGACAGGAAGGCTGGCTCTTTTCCTCACCGGGTGAGTGATCTAGAGCAGGTCATGCAATGGCTCTGAGCCTCAGTCCATCATCGAAAATGTCTCCTGTGGTTCTTGTGAGAACCGAATGGTTAATGTACAGCAAGTGCCTGGCAAAATCCTGATCACAGATGTGGTATACAATAAAAGTTTGTTCCTGTCCCCAGCTCCTCCTGTCCCAGTCTGGCCAGGAATCCTAATCTCCTTCCCCTTCTTTCCTCCTTCTGTGTAGAGTGAGGTGAGCTAGGCCAGAGCTGGGGGTGCGTAGTGTCTGAGGCCCCAGAGGACACTCAGATGCCAGGAGACTCAGGTTATGATCAAACAAGAGGAAAGAAAAAGGCTCCTCTAGACCTGGGTGTGCAGTGGTGGAGACACCATTAATTCTGGGAAATTCTGATGCAGGAAGTGAAAGTATTGTGGGAAAGAAAAAAAAAAAACAGACCGCACCTGTGGACCCTTTTGGAAAATGCCCCCCACCCAAATGGTAACAATGAGGAAGTCAAGAGAGTTCAACAGAAGCTGAAAATGACCAGACACACCCTGGAGGAGGAGATCAAAGCTGGCCCCATATATAACATCTTCACACATGCAGTCTCTGCCTGTGTCCCAACTATTATTTACTGCTCAAGGTCAACAACACAGGAGATCCCAGATCATAGACTCCTGAGTTTTCAGACACAGGGACCAGCAGGACTCCAGGCACTCACGTGACTCCTCCTTTGGTCTCCTCTACTCCACTCTCCAGGATTTCATTTTATCCAACTCTACTCATTGCTGCCCAACAAAACCAAGCATCACAGCCTCCAGACTTTGCACAGGTAACTGGGCTGGGGATGCAGGGGAGACCAAGGGGACAGGGAGGGAATCAGAGAAAGCAGGAGGAGGGACCTGTGGGTCTCAACTGGGACAAATAGGAAAAGATATGAAAGGCAGCTGGGAGATTTAATGACCAAGTGTAATTTCAACTCACTTAACGGGTTTTGGATTGAAGTATGGGAGCCAAACCTTAGTCACAAACTGAGGTTCACACTCAGCCCCATCCCCAGCCCTATCTTCCCCCTGCCTAGCCACACCCCTAACTCTAACATTAAATCAGGTTTGTCTTCTAACCCCCAACCAGAGCTTCAACCCCAGAGCCAACTTGAAACTTAACACCATCCCCAACCCCAAGGTGAACCTCAAGTCTCTCCTATTTCCAACTTCAGAGCCAAGCTTAGGCCATACTCTACCCATGGCATCAACATGAATATTGACCCCAATCCTAGGAGAAAATGCAGCCTTCACTGCAGCCTCAATGTTAGACCTATCCTAGTAATACATTTAGCTCCGACTTCCCTCCATTTTTAATCCAATGCTTAATCAAACTCCAGCCCAAACACCAGTCCTCACCCTATTCCTGACCTCAGCTGCAAACCCAGGCCTAATTCCATTCCTAGTCCTATTCCCTGGCTCATCCTCAACCTGAACTTCTCTTGCCTCAACTGCAGCCCTGACCTCAGCTCCAATATAGTCCCAGCCTCCCCAGTCCCCCAAAATTCAGCCCCAGCCTGGCCCTGGCCCTGCCTCCATTTCAGCTTTGACAGTCTTGCAGGGGGTCCAACCATGTCAATGAAGTATGAAGACCTCCAGTCCTTGGAGAGTGAGAAGAATAGCCAGAGGACTAGAAATGGTAAGAAGGAGAAGGGTGTTTCCCAAAATACCCTCATAATATGATTAGAAGGACCTGTTGTCATAGCACATCTGCACAGCATGTGCACTGCTAGGGTTCCCAATAGTGGGGTCAAGATTCCCATCAGAAGAAGATACAAGATTCTCAAAAAGACTGGACCAGGGAGGATCATAGTAGGCCTGGTGGACCATTCTCTGGTGCAGGGCTGAACATTTGCACTGGGGGGAGTGAATAGTCATGTTTAGAAAGGAAACATTTGATAACTGACAATACAGATAAGCGTGAGCCTGCTGAGGGCCTGGCTGCCCCAACTCTCTGTATCTGCCTGCCCCAAACCAGCCCTGGTGATAAGACCTTACATATCACCATCAGGTGCCACAAGGTACGTGAGGGTCCATGTAACTGAGGACTGTGCTGGTCCACGAGTGGTCAGAGGCCTGGACATCCCCTGCATCACAGCCTCCCCCAGCTTTCCCTGTACCAGCCTTCCTCCCTGCCAGGTCCCTGTGGCCTCTCCTCCTCCCCTGTCTCTCTCCTGTCCTGGTCCTCCTTGTCCTAAAGTCCTCTCCTCTTGCAGGGCTGCCTGTGCCCCAGGTCCTCCTGCAGCACCTCTGCTCTGGACCCCGCCTCTTCCTGCTCTTCCTGGGCCTCAGCCTCCTCCTGCTGGTCGGCATCTGTGTGGTTGGATCCCAAAGTGAGGGTCACAGGGTGGGCAGTAATGGGGGCAATAGTGACTGGGGTTCAGTGATGTGGGCACTGATAATGATCATAGTGGATAATGGGTAATGTAGTGAAATTATTTAACCTCTCCCAGCCTTACTTTCCTCATCTGCAAGCTTGCACAAAACAGGGCCTTTACCTTTGGGATGAGTGGCAGTGAGGACCCAATGAGACAATGCATGTCAAGTGCCCCACTTGATGCCAGTAGAGGAAGCACCTGATGACTCAGCACTCAGTGTGCTGTCTGCCCAATCAGGTTCCAAGATTCAGAGGGACCTGGAGACCCTGAGAGCAACTTACAGCAACTTCACTTCAAACACTGAGGCAGAGGTCCAGGCACTGCATGCCCAGGGTGAGCCTGGCTGGAAGGGGCTCTGGACTGGGATGAGGGGGTGTGGTGGGTGGTAGCTGAATCCTGAGCACTGAGTCCCCATGTCCTCCAGGTGGCCTCTTGCAAGAAATGATAACATCTCTGAAAGCAGAAGTGGAAAGCCAGGGGCAGCAGCTGCAAGCAGGTGAGAGACCCTCCAGGAGTGTGTGTGCAAGGGTGGGGTGGGAGCAGCCTGAGGTGCTGAGTGCCCTCCCTTCCAGCTCACAGCTTGAATGACAAGGTGTTCTCTTTGGAGAGCAAGGTGGAGAAAGAGCAGCAGGAACTCAAAGCAGGTCAGGCCCCTTCTCCCCTCCACTGGGTCTGATGTGGTGGGAGGACAGTTAGGGTCCAAGGTTGAACCCCCTGGAGTGTCCCACTGTTCTTCTGTGTGTGTCCCAGGCTATTCTGACATGGTCATGCGAGTCCAGGAGCTGGCCAGAGACCTGAACTCCCTGAGTTGCCAGATGGCTGATCTCAAGAGCAATGGTGAGTAGAGTGTAGGGAGCGCCTAGCCCCATCTCCTGGTCTTGTCCTACTGGGCAGCATCTGAGACCCTCCCCACCCCCACCCATCAGGCTCCCAGAAGACCTGCTGCCCCATTAACTGGTTGGAGCATGAAGGCAGCTGCTATTGGTTCTCCAGTACTGATAAGCCCTGGTCTGAAGCTGAAAAGTACTGCCAGCTGGAGAATGCACACCTGGTGGTGGTCAGCTCTTTGGAGGAGCAGGTAAGGCCTGGGAGGGCTTGTTTGGGTGGCTGGTTGCTCTACAAAAAGGCCACCACCCTCCTCTTTTCTTTCTAGAAATTTCTCGAGCAACAAACATTCTCTGTTGACACCTGGATTGGCCTTACTGACAAAGATGGTTCCTGGACGTGGGTGGATGGGACAGACTATGAGAAGGGCTTCCAGTGAGTGTGTGTGCTCTATCCTTTGTACCTCTAACCTGGGTCCTGCTGTCTCTGCTCAGCTGGTTCAAAGGCAAAATGGGCTCTTCAGATTGGCTGGGGGTCTGGCATTCGGGGCTCACATCTGTTTGGTGTCCTTAGGTTCTGGAATGCACTACAGCCAGACAATTGGCATGGACATAAGCTTGGGGGAGGCGAGGACTGTGCCCACCTAATGGATTCTGGCCAATGGAACGATAATGTCTGCATGAGACTCTTCCACTGGGTCTGTGAGAAAAGGCTGGGCAGGACCAGCTAAAAGCTTCCTCTCCCCTAATTTACAATATTTCCTGAATGCCTTCACCTGCTAAGGAAACCTAGATTGGCGATTCTTTTTTCTAGGTGTCCAGCATCTTCTCATGGATTTTTTTTCCCAGGATTTTAAGGGAAGGCGAGAGGATGGTGAATGAGGAATGTAGAATGATGTCTGATGGGGTGGGTAGATTGAAACGATGCCTCTTTCTATTGTCTGGAGGTTATGAGTGTAAATTTTTAGAGTAAAAAGAGAAATATATGAAACATTCTGAGTTGTCTGTTTATTGGGGATTAGGAAGAGGAGTGTGCTTGTTGGCACTATGAAGTAGTGGGTGTGCGTTGGGGCATCGGAAGAACTGCATGGGTTTTGGGCCTCATGACAGATTCACTATTTACAGGCATGTGATTTAGGGCAAGTTACTTTGTCTCAGCTGGAAAACAGTGTTGTTACTGGGACCATCCTCCTTCCAGCGACAGCCCAGGGTGATAACCACCCCCATGTCCTGAGTGCTTCCAAAGTTTCAGATGAAACTCCTTGGTGTCTGTTGGAAGCATTACAGTGAAGAGAAGCAGCATCCACAGGCAACAAATACAATGAATCAAAGCTGAGCCCCAAGCAAGAGTCATGAAAAGCAGTTCATGGAAGGGAAACCCCAGGGAAATAGAACCTGCAACCCAGGATAGGAGTTAACAACACAAACAGATCAAGACTTATAGACACTTATGGATATATGTATATATGTGTATATATATATATATATATATATATATGTGTGTGTGTGTGTGTGTGTGTGTGTGTGTATTTTTTTTTAAAGACAATTAGCTACCAATAAGTCCCTAACTAGTTCTAAAAAGGAGGAATGCTCTGACGGCAATAAAATAGTTAGACATGAACACAAAAGTAAAGCCAAAAAGGATGTACTATTTTTCTCACCATCTTTCTAGATAATGTTAAGAGAAAAGGAAATTAAATGCAAGTGAATTAGTTCATGAACAAGGAGAGCACCACACAGCGAGGCTGTGGGATGGTCTAAAGCAGCTCCTGGGAGGACCTGTGGAAGCTGTTCTGGCATTTTAAAAAACAAAATGGCAGAATTGAAATAAGCTAAGTTTTAACTCAGGAAACTTGAAAAGGAATAACAAAATAAATCCCCACAATAGAAGGAAGGATATTTTTATAAAGCAGAAATTAATATAAATATAAAATCTAAATATTACCAATAAAAGAAAAGTCTATTCCTGGAAAAAGTGAATATAATGAACAAAAATGAAGGAGATAAAAGGAAACATAGACACTCAACATTAGAAAGGAGAAGGATTAAAGAAGCACAGAATAGAAGACACAATCATGTAACACTTCCAGATCTGATACGGCAGAGTAAAGACAGTGTTTCCCTCCATTGATGTACTTTTAGGTTAATTCCTTAGATACAGAACTTTTACTTTCCAAACTTATTAAGGGAGAAAAGTGGAAAAAAAAGTTAATTTAAAGGAAGGCAGGAAAAGAAATAAAACTGGTAGATATGGAAAGGCACAATGTAAAAGGTTAATGCTGAATCTAAATATGTTGCTGATTATATTAAATGCAAAAGACTAAATATCTTGTTAAAAGATAAGAACCCCCAGTCAGAATAAGAAAACAAAGTTCAGTCTATGCCCAAGAGACACATCTAAAACAGAGAGTTTAGACTTCTGCCAAGATGGAGGTGTAGGTGGGAACACTTTGTCCTCGCACAACCAAATCTAAAAACAATAAAGTTTTAACAACAATAAACACAACCAAACCACACAGAAAATCAAATACGGAGTCCAGAAACAACGGACCACTCAGCTAAACTGGTGAGAGGGGCGAAACCAGCAGCGGACCCAGTCGGGCAAAAAAGATCCGGGCAGTGCACGAGCAGCGGGGGGGGGGGGGGGGGGGGGGGGCGCAGATCTCAGGTGCGGGGTAGCTTCCTGGGAGAGGCGCTGCTGACTGTCTGCAGTCGGTCACGCATTTGCACACAGATAAACTAGTGAAGAGGCAAGCATTGAGACAGATCTCGCAGGCCCCAGCGACTGGCACAGGGTGGCAGACTCGCACATTTGCACTTGGATAAGCAGGCGGGGGTGAGCAGTGAGGCTGACCGGGTGAGCAGAGAGGACCGCCATTGCTCCCTCTCTGACCCTGCCCCCACATACAGGGTCACAATCCTGCGACCTGGGTGGCCCCACCCCAGTAAAAACCAAGGCGCCTCTCCTCATACGTAATAGGCACAAACAGATCAAAACATGGCTCAAGAACAACTCAGAGCCCCAGAGCTGATAAATCTAAGCAACCAAGAAATAGCCAAACTTTCAGATGCACAGTTCAAAACACTGGTGATTAGGATGCTCACAGAACTGGTTGATTACAGTCACAAATTAGAGAAACATATGAAGGCTAAACTAATTAAAATGAATGGAAATGTACAGGAAACCAATAGTAATGGAAAGGAAACTGGGACTCAAATCAAAGGAGTGGACCAGAAAGAGGAAAAAAATGACCAAACAGAAAAGGATGAAGAAACAAGAATTCAAAAAAATGAGGAGAGGCTTAGGAACCTCCAGGACATCTTTAAACGTTCCAACATCTGAATTATAGGGGTACCAGAAAGGGAAGAGGAACACCCACGAGTGGAAAAGTTATTTGAACAAATAATTAAGGAGAATTTCCCCAATCTGGCAAAGGAAATAGACTTCCAGGAAATCCAGGAAGCTCAGAGAGTCCCAAAGAAGTTGGACCCAAGAAGAAACACACCAAGGCACATCATCTTTACATTAGCCAAGATTCAAATGAAGGAGAGAATCCTGGAAGCAGCAAGAGATAAGGGGACAGTCACCTACAGTGGAGTTCCCATCACACTGTCAGCGGATTTCTCAAAAGAGACATTACAGGCAAGAAGGGGCTGGAAAGAAGTATTCCAAGTCATGAAATCCAAAGACCTACATCCAAGATTGCTCTATCCAGCAAAGTTTTCATTTAGAATAGAAGGACAGATAAAGTGCCTCTCAGATAAGATCAAATTCAAGGAGTTCATCATCACCAAGCTCTTATTATATGAAATCTTAAAGGGACTTACTTAAGAAAAAGAAGATAAAAAAGACGAACAGTGAAAGGACAGCAAACTCACAGTTATTAAGAACCACACCTAAAACAAAAGCAAATTAAGAGGACAGCTAGATCAGGAGTGAACCATAGAAATGAAGATCACATGGAGGGTTAGCAACAGGGGAATGGGAGAAGGAGAAGGGGGGAGAAGGTACAAAAAATATGTAGCATAGACAGTAGATAGAAAATAGATAGGGGGAGGGTAAGAATAGTAGGGGAAATAGAGAATCTAAAGAACTTGAGACATGTGTTCATGAACTAAAGGGGGGAGAATGGTGGGGGAGGGGTGTGCAGGGTGGAGGGGAATGGAGGAGGGGAAATAGAACAAATGTAATAGCATAATCAATAAAAAAGAGTTAAAAAATAAAATAAAAACAGAGAGTTTAAAAGCAAAAACATGAAAAGAATATGTTAGCCAAATTTCAGCCAAAATGTTTAACATGTAAAGTACAGTTTATAACAAAGTGTTATCAAAGATAAAGAATATCACTTCCTAATGACAAAAGGTCTAACCCAACAGGAAGATACACCAATATGAAATATATGTGCATGGAATAACATGGCCCAAAATATATTAAGCAAAAATTTTGCAAGTATAAAAACAAATAGTTCTATAATTATAGTAGGAGATTATAATACATCTCTCTACTAGTTGATAGATGAGCTGACAAAACAATCACCAAAGAAACAGATGTTTCAAACTCCAGGTAGTACTATTATGATCCAATGGACATATTTAACACACTGGACTCGTTACTACAGAGTATGCATTCTTTTCAAGTACACTGGGATATTTTTTTAAAAACTGAGCAAATACTGAGGCCCCAGGGGAAGCTCAGATGTCAGGGACTTGGGTCATAACAGCAAGAGCAGAGAAAAAGTCTTCTCTGGACCTGGGTGTGCAATGATGGAGACAGAAACAATTCTGGGGAATTCTGATGCAGGAAGTGAAAGGGCATGTGGAGCAGAGGAAAAACAACAGGCTGCACCTATGGACCTTCTGGAAGACTCCCCTCTACCAAATGGTAACAGTGAGGAAGTAAGGGGAGGTCAAAGCAGCAGCAAGGACAGGGACACACCCTAGAGAAGAGGTAGGTTTGACCACATAACCACTGCCACCTAAATAGTCCTCTGCCTGTTTCCAACCCCATTAATTCTCCTTCTATTTATTTTTTAAAGATTTTTATTTATTTATTTTTAGAGAGAGGGGAAGGGAGGGGGAAAGAGTGGAGAGAAACATTGATGTGTGAGACAAACATTAATCGGTTGCCTCTTGCACCACCCCCAACGAGGATCAAATCCACAACCCAGGCATGTGCCCTGATTGGGTATAGAATCAATGATCATGGGTCAACCCCCAACCCACTGAGCCACACTAATCAGGCCTAATTCTCTCTTTAATTTACTGTGTAAATTGTGGGAACAGGAGATCTAGGATAGAGAATTCTGGGTCTCAGAAACTCAGGCGTGAAAACTCTGGTCATTTTTACTGACTCTCTCCACCTTCTTTTCCTCTACTGCAGGAAATGGATAGAGGATACAGGTGGGAAAGCAAGGAGGTCAGAGAAAGCAGGTGGGTCAGGAGGCAGGACTTAAGAGTTTTAGGTGTGATCTAAAGGGTGAGAGATATTGGGGTAGAGATCAAGAACTGAATTACTATAGGGACTATCTCTCCACATACCTCTAGATGAGGTTGGGAAGCCCCAACTTCAGGAATGAAATTAGCACCAAACTCAGCATTAGCTTTAGCCTCAATTCCTGCCTCAAACTTTTATCTTAGTTCCTATTTTAGCCATCATCCTACTCATTCACAACTTAAACTCCAAACCTCAGCCTCAGATTAAGTCCTCTGATTGGCCCAACCACAGCCCCCAACTTAGCACCACTCAGCAGTGTGAACCTTGGCAACTCTTTCAGCTCTCTGAGAATCACAGGTTGATGGGACATTTCAGTAAGATCTGAGGAGAGTCATTCCAGCTACAGAAATCAGCTCTGAGCTAAGGGTGCTTAGCAAGAGGCCAACAGGGCTCATTCATTGATGCATCTGTAGCCAGGGTACTGACTGCCTCAGCCAGCTAACAGCCAAGTGCAAAAGGCCCACAAGTCCTCCAAAGATCTCAGTTCTTCAAATGGTAC